ACCAAATACCTACAATCAAACATTAAAATAATGTTATGGAACATGACCTTTACATTAAATTACTAAATTAATGCAGATTAAGCTCGCTTTGCATCTTTTTTAGACTAAAAAATCTATTGAAAAAACCCACTGATAGCTTATTGTGAACTATATTTAGATTTTAAACTATGATAGAATGATTATATATCAAATATAAAGTTCTTTTTCTGTTTAAAGAACATTTCGATAACATTTGAACATGACAAAAAGTTAAAGCAATGAAAATAAAACGAGACTTTTAATAAGAATACTATTAGTTTCATTTAAAATGTTTTTCTATATAAATCAGCAACAAGTTTGTTTCTTTCCCAAAAAAACCCAACCCAAAAAATATACACCTGTCTACGGTTCCCGCAATCGAATTCAACAGTTGTATGACTAGAACTACTGGAGAACCGAAAAGAGTTACTGGCCACACAATTAATTAGACAAGGTTCCATGGTCGTAACTCAAGAGAGTTGGTATTTTCACAAATAGGCTATCTATTTCGGGGACATTATGTAGAGAGGTTGAGATTCTCGAGTCAGTGGTGTCCCGCACCACCAGGGACTTCCTTTCTAGGGTATACCTGGTTCCCCGGCTATTAGTACTTAGTACCCGAGACGGCGTGCGGTTTTAGTCGGTTCGAGTCCGACATGCCGCCGATAGGTGGTATCCGAGGGGATTTTCGCACGGAAAAAAAAAGTGGTGTCCCGTTCATGTTTGAGGTACATTATTAATTTCTATGTCCACGACAAACCATTGATGGATCTTTTCAATACACGTCCAACGTCAACATTCGTTGCCCGTCTGATACTTGAGACAATAAATATATCCATATTGGCTAGTCTTGTCCCTCAGTCTTTCTTAAATGACCGAATCATACTATTCACCTACTTGATTCCTGCGGCTTGAGTATTAAAAATACTACCTACTTAGTAAATAGGTTTACCTACTACAACTCTAACCTAATAACCAAATTAAGTTTTCATTCATTTCACCGTTTAACATAATTTTTATACCTAGTCTTGGGCTTCCCAAAATTTAAATATTAAATGGCGTTCCCGATTTGAGGGCATGATGTCATGGTGGTTTGGTACTTGACAGAGGATTCCTTTTAGCTGAAACATTATCTAGTGATCCCAATACACATACATGAGTACAACTATTGTAACTTACTTACGACAATTGTTACTCTAAATTACTAAAAAGATAGTATAGATAGTTCAACTCAACAGTCGTCGTCCGACTGCCGCGTCACTGCCACACGAATGACAGTTGTATATTTACAAGCCCACGCACACATAGGGCCGCGCGCAACTGAGTTGAACTATCGATAACATTACGATATATTTATATTACTTTCTTTTTATCCAATTCTATCCACATTGATATTGTGTAAATTGTATCTTTAATTGGATCTACTGTCGTATAAATCTCCCACTTTTTTCGTAGTCTTCCCCCCTCGCTTACAGAGAGCATTCGAGAATATTCCTTTTAGTCCTCAAGCCGCAAGAATACGATATTAGTCTAACATTTGGCAGTGATCTAAACAACATATACATACAAACATTTCCTACTGTACCCTCCACAACCCTCAGTAAATACATCGTCCTAACCTAACGAGTTTATTAAACCACAATAACCTTAGTCTCAGTTTTCCTCCAAGTAGAGGGGGTCCAAAACAAAATTTTAATGTTGTTTTTATTTTCAAAGCAAAAACGGTAGTACCGTGGTGTATTTTTATCAGGGTATCAAGGACGAACACCTAATGGTTCGACAAGTTATATAGAATGATGGTTTTAAACTAGCAGTACTAGTGGTTGAAACGTTAGAGAATTCAGTATTGGCAATTATTTTTTAAAAAGTTTTTTAATGTCGTACGCAAAATTAAAATGCATGACTGTACATATAAACTCAATATCAGATAAGTCTAACATAGTGTGCAATTTGATTTCAAATCGAAATGGGTCCAATTTAAAGTGCTCTTTATAATATAATATGTGACTATTATTATCTGAAATTTTAAACTTTGGGTCCACGCAAAGTCGTTATTGGTAGAACAATTACAAACAAGAAATTGTTACAATTTTTTAAACTTCAAATTGCAGTCATGGTGAAAAAATTTTCAAAAATATTTCAGTCAGGTCGTACTTGGTTGTTGGAAGATGTATTGAGGTACAATGAGACTTTCAAGGACCTTAGGTAGGTTTTGAAATGGAAAACATATATTTAAGTAATGCTGCTGACTCTACTTCAAATGAAATATGTAAGAGCTTTAAAAGTACACTAATACTTGTGGGATACTAGGGATAGAATAAAACCACAATACACAGTGACAAATCATATGATTTATCACAGCTTGAATAGGTTTCAGAATCACTGCGACTTGTTATTATTATTACGCTAGCGGCAGACTCACGAAAGGTCTAAATCTAGTCGTAAACTTTGTTTAAAGAATTTTGATGGCATTTATCTTTGACCATGACCAATGATGACCAATTCACAATCACAGGTGAAACAGAAGTGATTAAAACTAATCATTTCATCATATGATTATGATTTTTTATAAGTAGCAATTATTTCGATGTCTAGGGCCCATCTATGTGTGAGAGACATTATTTAGGATATATCTGAATCTTTGTAACAACTTTCTACCGCTGTTTAAAAAACATAAAGTATAGGATGTTTTTATCTCTGTCTTTTAGCTAAATTTAGAAAAAGAAATAAGATTTAGTTAACAGTATACATGCTAGTTTAGGCAAGTTAAACTTCTTTTTGAGCATTCTTAATTCAAAATAACAAACAGTGATTGGTTCTTGATACATTAGAGATACTAATACGTCTTTTATATCTATTTTCGAAATATAACTTATAATATTCAGATCAGTAAACAGTCTACGTAGTTGTCAAAAATAAAGTTATAAAACTGTATTCGATATGTCTTACATATCACTTCGATTAACATTTACACCCATTTATCTATGGTTAGTCGATTAGTATAATAAATAAATAAAGGAGATCGTGTTGTGCTCGTCTTGACGTCCATTTTATAAGCTTTCACATGTTAAGGTCTGATCACACATTTAACCAAAAGGAACCACAAACAAGTTTACAGATTTTACTGCAATGTTCTTTGGCTTATTGTGTTTTATGACACCAACAATGAACATTATCACAGTAACAAACAACATACTGTAGTTTTTCATCATTAAATAAATTTGAAATTGATAAAGTTATACACTGTTATAGCGCAATGTACGCGTGAAGGCGAGATTAGCAATATAGTAATTGGACCAATGACGGTCAAGTTACTACCTTTTTAATAATCGACTAAACGGAAGGTACATCGTTGAATACTAACATATGACGTCACGGATTCATGTTGTCAAATCGTACACTTCTAGCGTTAACTTGTAAAAAATATAAATTAAATTATAAAGTACGATGTTTGCCGTATTTTGAGATAGTCACTTATTAGTTATACCAAAGACAAGTTAGTGTGTAGTAAAAATAAAATGTAATCATGAATTTGTTCTATGGTAAACACTCTAGAAATGTCACTTGTGACTATGGATGAGTGAATGGTCAGACAGAAAACACGATATTTTATTATGGAATAAATACTATTTCAGTAAAGCAGCCAATATATACGCAGTCTTGATTTTGTCGTTGTGATGATAAGTTACATAGTATTATGCTCAGTCAAGTACTGTGCTTATTGTAATCATATTGCAATGGTACACAAGTGTATATTGTATAAAACATGTGTTAATTTTTTAATTAGTTTAAAGTCTCTTTGTGAAAATCTGTTATTAAAATTAAGCCTATTTGCAGTGGCAAGTTAGCTTTTACAATAGTGATTTGCCTTGTAAAAGACCTGGGGCCGATTGTTTAAACGTTAAAAATATTAAATCGACGGCTAATCCTTCTGAGCGGTTATAACAACAGTATATAAAATTAACACATCCAATAAAGAAAGCTCAATTTTTGTAACTAAATACATTTTCATTACTTATTCAATTTTCTAAACACTTAGTCGATTAAGTTCACTTAGTCGTCTAGAATCGAAATATGTATCGATGAAATCGAGCGACTGCTATATGACTGATCCATTTCTAGATACAATGGGATTTTACACAAAAGAGTATATATATCGAGTAAGATCGAATCAGTAATAAGCCTATATTTAGTTATAAACAACGGCTTCTTAATATCAATGGTACCATAATAATGCTTCTGGGAGGGAGACATGCACGTACAGATGTTTCACCTTTTGTATTTATTATATCAATCGTCAATACTAAAGTTATGACGTCACAACACGGACCACAATAATAAACATGGTCTTTGGTCACAAACATAGCTGCTAATGACGGCCAGTAATAAAGGTTGTATATGCGACTGTAGCATATTGTAAAATTGAACCTTAACATGTTGTTTATAAGGACTTAAATGTACGGATGCATTGAGAAAAAGCAAGTGTCATACATTGTTTATGTGCCAAAAATACTGTTTTATTAACAGTACAAAATAAATCTTAATCGTCGTAAACTAACATTTAACCAGATGTTAAGTGGATACCAATGTATTCTAATATTTGAATTTGTCTCCTCTTTTTTAATAAGGAACTTAATGTTTTTCTCTGATGAGGGAATTTCAATTTTCACAGCGAGCGTACAGAACGCCGTCTCTCAATATCGCGTCTTCGATGATTATATTTTTTGTAGTATGCTTTTAAAAAATAATATACTTTGGTATTACCCTTTTAATAATGAAAATGACGAAATGAAATATTGATGCACTACACAAATGATATGTCAACGTAAAGACTTGTCACAAAAAAGACTGTTAGAATCTTTACGTTCACAGAATATAACCTTTGCCTTTTCGACCCCTTTAATAAATATTATTTTGTTTATCTCCAGTCGAATATATAACCATTATGTGTTGTAGTACCGGCTCAGTTAGAGCAAGCCGCGCTAGGCGAGGTGTGGTCGCGGCGACATGACGATGTAGTGGTGCTCGATGGGTGGCGGGACGATGGGGGACATGGGCATGTACTCGCTCTCCGCTTCCTCTTTTAACCGCACCTTGTTCAGCTGCTCGTGGCCCAGCAGCAGCTCGACGATCTGCTGCGGCAGAGACAGAGCCGCTATACTCTCCTCGGTGAACTCTATGGACAGGTCCGCCTCGAAGTTGTACTCGTCCTCCAAGCACTCCACGGACTTGGAGCAGCGGTTGGTCGGAACGGGCTCCGTGTCGTCGAGGAACTCGCAGCTCTTGGTCTCTCCCTTAGCGAGAGTGCCGGTGGTGATCTTGAGGTTCTTCATTTTGCGACTCACCTTGAAGCTTTTGAAGATGTCCCTGGTGGGGGTAAAGTCGAACTTCTTCTTCTTGGTCTCGACGTCCTTGTTCTCTTTGGAGGTCTCAGATTTCTGTGAAGCTGTGACGCGTGAATCGCTTTTGAGACGTTTTCTGCAAATTTAGAAAAAGTTTATTAATCTAAGTACTTTTAAACATTTTGTTCCTGAAGAGGTTGTGGTAGGAGGAAATAGACGTTTTCGGGCGGGGCGTTCGACAGTCGACGCTGTTTTGCGCCTGAGGGCCGTGACCGAAGAGGCCGTGAGCTGTGGCGGCGTGCTGTTGGCGGTGTCATTGGACATCGCCAATGCATTCAATAGTCTGCCATTCAGCTGCATCAGGGAAGCACTCCGCTATCACGGGGTGCCAAAGTACCTGAGGCGGCTAGTGGCAGACTATTTAGAGGAGCGTACCGTCGTGTACGAGGACCGAGAAGGTAATTCGAGGTGTCGGTCCATGTCGTGCGGTGTTCCACAGGGGTCTGTTCTTGGACCCCTCTGGTGGAACATAGGGTACGACTGGGCCCTTCGAGCCGATTTCAACCCCGGGCTGGGTGTAATTTGTTACGCAGATGATACTCTGCTGACAGCCAGGGGGGCGAACTTCCAAGAGGCGGCGCGCCTGGCCACAAGGGGAGTCTCCCTGGTGGTCGGGCGCATTGAGGCGCTGGGCTTACGGGTGGCCCTAGATAAGACGGAGGCTCTCTTATTTCATGGGCCCCGTCGTGGTCCACCCCCTGGCGCCTCAATCGTGGTCAACTCGGTCCTCGTACCGGTTCGGGCCCAGATGAAATATCTGGGCCTGATCCTCGACGGGAGGTGGTTCTTCGACGAGCACTTCCGACAGCTTGCTACAAAGCTGGTCGGCGCTGTACGGTGCACCGGTGTGGGCGGCGGCTCTGACCGCCCAGAATAGGGCACGCCTCTGGCACCCTCAGAGGGTAATGGCGGTCAGAGCCATACACGGTTACCGCACCGTTTCGACGGAGGTGGCTTGCGCGTTGGCCGGAACTCCCCCGTGGGATTTGGAGGCGGAAGTGCTCGCCGAAGTTTATCGGCGAGTGGCTGACTTCCGGGCGGAGAGCGGATTTCGCCCCCCGCCCGAGGATGTGCGCGAGTGGCGCGAAGCCGCTCGCCGAGCCACGATGGCTCGTGGGTCGTTCCGGCTGGAGACTCCACGCGCTAGCTTCGCCGCCGTGGAGGCTCTCCAGCCGGTCATCGCCGAGTGGGCAGGGCGGCAGCACGGGACCCTTACCTTCCGGCTGACGCAGGTGCTTTCCGGGCACGGTTGCTTCGGAAAGTACCTGCAATCCGTCGCTAGGAGGGAACTGAGTCCCGCCTGCCACCACTGCGACTGCAGTGAGGACTCGGCCCAGCACACGCTGGCGGTCTGCCCAGCATGGGCGGCTAAGCGCCGGGCCCTCACTGCAGTCATCGGAATGGATCTCTCGCTACCGGCCGTAGTACGCTCCATGGCCGGTAGCGACAGTTGTTTTACCGCGGTCGCAACCTTCTGCGAGGTAGTAATCTCGCGGAAGGAGGCGGCGGAGAAGGCCCGGGAGGACGACCTCCACTCGGACCCGATCCGCCGCCGGCGAACCGGGCGGCGGAGGCCCGCCTATCACCGCCTCATGCCGCCCTGAGTGTGGCCGCGGGTGGACGGGGTGGGTTTCCCCTCCACCCGCATTAGTTTGGCTAGCCGTGAGGGGTCGGCGTCCGCGTGTGCCCGACGTCGCCTAAAGAGAGGAAAAATTTTTGAGACGGAGCCCGCAACAGGAGCGGGCCGGCGCTAGGAGGGGTCCGGATGTCTTAACAACAGATGTTCCCGGATCCCTCCTGTTACAGGCGCAGAGTGGCACGTGTGGTTTTAGTCGGTTCGAGTCCGACACACCACCCCGCCGCAAACTCCGGTGGGGTGACGGTCCGAGGGGATTTCCACACGTTAAAAAAAAAAAAAAAAAAAGGAGGAAATAGACGTAAAATAAAAATAAGACTGCTTTAAATTCGTTTAAAAGTATTGACCTGGTCATAAACAGTACTAATCATGAATGTCCAATTGCAGATTGCCCTCGCAATGTAAGCAGAATACTAGTGTAGCATAACTCTATAGTTTATTTGACACTTTTAGGTACAACTTCCGCTGTGTTTGTATGTAGTGAATATATTTATAATAAATCTCTAATAACGTTTCTTACGAAGAGTGAGGGACACAAAATTAACACAACATTTTTTAATGCCACTGTTAACATTCTCTTTCGCATATGTTGTAATATAGTCCTCCTCCTCCTCGCTTCGGTTGCCTCAATGCTGAGGGTCGTGACCGCTTCCTCGCAGTAAAAGTTTGCTGTGGACCACTCGACGCCACCCGCCCCTATCCGCCGCCGAGTGTAGAGCATCATGGACTGTGGTGTCGAGAGTAGTGCGGATCTGGTCAGTCCAACGTGTCGGGTTTCTACCTCGTGGTCTTTTTCCATCCACTTTGCCCGTGACCATTAACTTAATAATTAACTTAATTGTAATATAGTAGGTTCACTGTAATACTTAATAAAAATTGTTTTTATTGTTTCGAATACACATCATCAGCACGGATTCATCATCATCATCATCAACAGCCTTAATTTGTCCACTGACAAAAAAACAGACATTGAACTATGCCATGAGGACTTGGATCTATCTGTGTGCAGTGAGCAATTACTTAAAGTGTTGCCTATTGAAATACTTTTCCTATACCTAGGTGATCGCGGGTTGAGTAATAGTCACCTGAAAACACTGAAGGGTTGTCTCTTGTCAAGTTTGGGCAGGGTCTGTGTGGAGCAGCGCGGCAGGGAGCCCAGAGACGAGTGGCGCGTCACGTTGGAGTCGCAAGCGGATCCGCAACGCGTCCACGACGTACCCGGCTTCAGTGTACTGGCGCTGTACGCAACACACATAGTGAAGTCTCGTGCGATCGTATCAAACTTTTAAATTTAAAGAAGGTGCTTAAGTTTTAGATTTGGAATAACCAATAAAGTTCAACACTACACAAATATTGACTTAAATAATACTGACAAATAATACTTTTCACTTTAGACAGATACCAATGAAATACGGTAAACGAGTTAGATGTACTCAAAATTTTACCTTTTTAGTTACACAGAGTGTCGATACGATCGAAACGTCGAATATCTAAAAATCGGTGACAGATTCTTCAAGAAAGTCTAAACAGTGTCTCTCTAAACATTAACAGACATCTAACACAGAACACTATTTAGTTTCAAGCTAAGCAGAACTTGTATTATGAAAACTAGATTGACTGATAGAATACTGATATAATTTTTTTTTTAAATACATACATAGAAAACACCCAACTCTGAAACAAATATTTGCACATCATACAAACATTTGGTCCGACCCGGGAATCGAACCCGAGACGTCAGCACAGCAGTCGCATACGCTACCACTGCACCACCGAGGCAGTCAACGCTTGTAGACGAGTTATGTAAAAGAGTGTGTTACCCGAAGGGGTGTCGCGGCGGCAGTGGAGGGGGGGGCCGGCGCCGGCGCATGGTGGCGTACACGCACTCCGCCACGCTCTCGTACGTCGGCTCCTCCAGCACCTGCGCAGCGCCAACCCTTATACAACCGACCTCACCACTACGTCACCGAACAGCCAAAATATAATCCTATTAATCTCGGTCCACGGTTTCTCGGTCTCTTCTGTTCTTTCGTCCTGTACCACGCGTATATTATATTTAAGATGATCGGTTGAACGGTTGAGATGTGAAAGCGTAACAGAAACGAGCTCTGAATAGCTTTACGATATCAGTTGAGGTACCTTGAGGAGGCCGTCGGGCACGTCGAGACCGGCGGGAGCGGGGCAGGCGCCCTCGGGCAGGTCGGGGATCTCCTCGTAGATGCCCGAAGCCACCGACACCAGCGAGCGCCGGTCCGACACACTGCACACACCCATTACATATTACGACTACAAATAATAACACCCACATGATTAAATACGATATTGCATTAGTTAAACACATTATCAGATCCACCTTAATTTAATACTTTCTTCTTTTAGAATTTATATTATGTGTATACAGGGTTACAAGAAAAGTCGTGCTAGATCCGTTAAGGGCGTGGAGTACCCATCATTTCTGACATATTTCACTATGAAACACCCTACCCTAAACTTAACCCTTTTCGAGATAATCGTCTTTTAATTTTTTTATTGAAATTTGCTGATTTTTAGGCTACTACATTTATTTTTGTTTATTTTGTGTATCTTATTATTATTATGTTTGCATTTTTACATGTGTAATAAGATGCTTTAGGACGTCAGTCATTAAAATAGTTAATAAGTTAATTGAATAGATCGTAGTAGACAAGTGAAAGTAAAGAAATAAAAAAAATATTAGAAAATTATTTTTCTCTAACGGATATCTAAAAACAATATTATGGTTATTGTTCGGCAGATGCTTTTTAAAATATCTACGTTTCATCAGCTATCTAACGAGGTATAATAATCTAAGGTTTTATTCAAATGCATTGAAAAAACTTTAGTTTCATAGGCGACAGTGGAGAAGAAAATTTATACTTAGCCCAAAAAAGTAATATAAAACAATAGTTAAGCATGAAATGTCATTTATTAAAGGTTTTCACACAACTTTTTCTTATTCTACAGTTCATGTTCAACATGGCCGCCTCTATTTCTGATACATTGTCGCATCCTTCTACGGAGACCAGGCTATGCAATAGCTTAAAAACATTAAGTATAATATAACATACCTATCATCAAACGAAGTTACAGACTGCACATTGAAAGGTGGAGTGAATGCAGTTAGCTGGCCGGTGAGTTGCCCCGCGCCAGTGCAGCGGGATAGCTGTCCTGTGGGTATGTGCTTCGATTCCTATGATCGTAATGTCATATTTTAGCTTTTTACATATTGTTGTATCCTCAATATTTAAACACAAAAGTTATAATCTAAAAAGTACATACTCTATAGAAGTCAATCCACACAATTTTCTATTTGACATTTAGATTTAAATTTCTCCATGTTTTTTATAAGTTTTGTAATTAATATTTTCATCTAAATTCGAACCTTCATAATGTATAAGGACTGAAGAAGTTACATTGATGAAATGATATTTTTTTCTGCAAGGAAATCTTTTTAGATATTTTTACAAGTCGGACTTTACAGCTAGAAGACGCCGGCATTTCCTAAGGACGCCGGCATTTCGCTCTGGGAAGAAACGCCGAAACAAACCACAGAGGTGTCTTTATTTTTAAGTCCGTGAACAACGTTAAAGAGAACTATGCGAGTGCAATATAGGGTCTGGGTTGGCCTTTTGAAGAAAGGACAATAGTATTGAGTCGGCCCATCCATACAGACGGCATACGGGCCCCAGCCTTTGTATAGCCTAACCGATATAGTCAGGATCAACAACCCGGAACACGACACTACAGGACACTTGAGTGGGCCGTGGAAACACTCAAAACCACCACCAACCATTGTACGGTATTATACGAAGTCTGGTCAGTCTTGCTAATATTATGAACGTGAAAGTTGGTGAGGACTGAGGGCCAGTGAAAGTTTATTTCAAACTAGCTGACCCGCGCAACTTCGTCTGCGTCTCTCAATAGTAATAAATTTTCTCCGTTTTTGAAACATTCTTCATTGGTGCTCCGCTCCTATTGGTCTTAGCGTGATGATATATAGCCTCGATAAATGGGCTATCTAACACTGAAAGAATTTTTCAAATCGGACCAGTAGTTCCTGAGATTAGCGCGTTCAAACAAACAAACAAACTCTTCAGCTTTATAATATTAGTATAGATCAACGCCGAACGCAGTCTCTGAGACGTGCGAGTTAATGTGAAATAAACTCGCATTTGGACCTCTAACAAATGCAAGGATTCACGGATGGATGGATGAATAAGTACATGCAAGAATAGATTAATGGATGGATAGATGCATCAACAAATTATAAATTTATTAGAATAGAAAGTTAAAACTTGATGTTCGTGTTATAACTTGTGTAATGTTGTTACCTTGGACATGACAAGGTCGATATCGTCTAAGGACACCTCCGAAGGGCCACTGTACCAACTGCTTCGGCGCACGTCACCTGCAATATGAATGTTATTATACAAAAGGAACGAGACTACCGCCTAAAGTTGTGCAGCCTAGTCTAGTTTATGCATACAGTCTAGTCTATGCATGCAACATGTGGAGAGCCGTAGGGACTTTTACTAGTTCATATTAAGTGTGTGGGACCGTAGCCGATGATGAATGGGACTCAGTATACCATAAGACATGACATATCTTTTTATTAAAAACATTGATTTATTGTAACTAAAATGTGTGTATTTTAGAAATAAAATAATTATGTTTTCTTTACGAACCACCACACGCCACCACCAGTGGAAGCCCTCGCTTGTTGTCTATCCTATGATAAGGATATAAAGTTCTAAATATATTTCTTATGAGGTAGTCAGGTAAGTGAGATGCAAATCGTACCCATATCAGCGTCACTGCACTTGGCGGTGCGCAGGTCCCCGTCGCTCTTGCTGAGCTTGTGGATGCTGCGCGAGGCGAGCGACCGGCGCGAGTCCAGGGCGGCCTGCAGCGCCCGCGTCAGCTGTCCCGCCACCGGCGATGTGAACTTCAACTCACCCCCACCCTTTTGGAACTCACTGTATAACATTTTGAAATTTAATACTCATGTCACGTTTAGAACAGTAAGTAATAGTTTGAAGAAAATTCTTCTCACAACTTAGCGTAACGTTGAAGATCAGTCTTTATTTTATTACAAGCTAACCTATGAGCCATACAGTTCCGTCTAATTTAAATACCATTCTCAAGGGATTTATTCAACTTCTTTTGTCTATATAGTCTTTATTTAGACAGACAATTAAGATTTAAATAGTACATTTTAATAATATTAATAAATAAATAAATAACACTAAAAAAATTAAAATGACCAAATTCTTTTGAAAGTGTTGTGCTAAGGTAATGTATGTAGGATTCTCGAAGTACAACTGTGCGAATACTAGATTTAATGTGTACGGAAATAACAAGACTATTTAAAAAACGCAGATGGTCCATCATACATGGCCAGCGAATCCACTCGAAATAAATGTAAGTGCAATGTTTGATTTTATTTCTGAGTCAGAATGAAGCATATGGTCATGTTACCACGTGCAAGTTTCTGACTCACACTAGTTTTGCAGACATATTAAATATTTATATGTCTTAAAACTTAAAATATATCATTCACTAGCTTTTGCAAGCGGCTCCGCCCGCGTAAATGTTGATTATCGGGGTAAAAAGTAGCCTATGTCTTTAACCAAGAATCAAAGTATCTAAATACCAAATTTCATTTAAATCAGTTCAGCGGTTATTGATTCCCCATACAAACTTCCATTCTCCTTTTCAACCCCTCTAATGATGATTTGTGGGATAAAAACTACGTTTCCTGGGATTCGGACTATTTCTATACCAAATTTCATCAAAATCTTTTCAGCGGTTTAAACGTAAAGAGGTACCAGACAGACACTTTCGCATTTATAATATTAGTATGGATTTATCTCTTTCTCAAATTAAGTTATCCATAAACGAGCAGACGGTTCACTCGATGTTAATATAGCTAGCGTCGCCCCCGGACACATGCAACTGAAGAGATACGAGTGCGTTACTGCACTTTGAGGACCAACGCTCCAGTTTTGAGGGGGGTTCACTCAGTAAAATAGGTACAACGAGGGAACTGCTTAACCCCCTCAGCCGCCTTCGAAACCGACGGTTCGTAACCAGTTGAGGAGAAAAATATGATGCTTGTACAAACTCATGATTAAAAAATAGTGACCAGTTATAATTATTTATTTGTGTAAATGTCTAATGATATCTGTCTTTGATCTTTCTGTCCCGTGAAAGTTTAGATATGAAAAAATTATAAAAACAAACTTTAAAAATGAGTTCCTTGTACGTATCCGTGGTTTCGCAAAAAGATAAAAAAAGCCGTTATTTCGTACAAAGATATTTGAAGTGGCTTAACACCGGTATTCTCTGTGGCCGTGGTAAAACTCCGTTCGAGCTGGCCAATTTGTGCAGAAGCATCTCTCCCAGGAATTTTAAACGAAAATTTGACATCAAATCTATCACGAGTAGTCCTAATTTTTTACTATAGTAGAATTATTTTCTCCGTGCAGTTTGGGTCATAAACCATAGCTCGGCCCCGGCCCGGCTAGGGCGGTGAGCATGTTGCGCGGGCGCAACGCCACTATCGATAAGAACAAATGAGTCATCAAAGGCAGGTACACGGCGGCGGAGCGGTATACAAAGGTGGTGAGACATTGTTATGTTATAAGTCATTTGTTGTTCCCCACTGCAAATTATAGTACATATGTCGAAGAGAAATGTGTTTTTGTGCATTCGCTCTCTGAATTTCTTTAGTGATACAATGGCTACTCCTTTGTTTTGTACCAAAACGGCAGAATTTATTAAAAATAATATTTTCATTTTAAATATAGGTATAAGTATTTATATTTATTCTTAACATAACTTTTTACATTCTTAACTATTGTACTTATAACAATACATACTAATAATTTATTCTTTTATTACAATATTATATCTTATCTTTTATTATTATTCTTATTTTAAAAAATACGTTGTTTTATCTATTTTTTTTTAATTTTTGTCACTAACCCACAAAATGACAAAACTAAATACACTATCGATAACGCTTAACGACAACAATAATGCGCATCACTATGCCTGCCCATAAGGCTCGTGAGTGGAAGAGAGAACGAAATACTCGCTTCACCGCTCTGACTATTTATGACCCAAACTGCACGGAGAAAATAATTCTACTATAGTATATATATTTCCATATATATAGTAGGCCAAAACCACCTTTGTAACGACAGGCCTATGTCCAGCAATGGACTAGTAAAGGCTGTTCATGATGATGATGATGATGATATTTATTTCCCCACTTAATATTCAATAATATACAATCACATCATCACATCACATCACCAGCCTATAACAGTCCACTGTTGGACATAGGCGGAGAGGCCTATGTTATGTCGTAGAAAGGAGGTTTTGGCCTACTATACCACGCTGGCCGGACGGGTTGGTACAGGGTTTGTTTCAAGTTTTCCTTCTTTTTGCAGTGCTGGTGTCCTGCGTTGTTTTGCGCCCTTAGTCGCCTCTTACGACACCCACAGGATGAATTGGGGTAGTGACATTCCGTATTCTTAATCCGTCACTACACGGACAGTTGTTGCATACAATTAAATTCGGCCTACAATATAGTCTCTGTGCGTAATAGGCATTGTTACCTATCTGTTGTAACGTTGTCTAACTTACGTTACGTATTGTTTATTTGTGTCTGCAAACAGGTTAGTCACACTCTTGTATAAGAAATTAACTAGTTGTTTGTGGAGGTGTAATAATGTAAGGTTGGATAGACGTAATGTAGACTACAACGCCACTAGAACACAACTTATTATCATTTTAACAGTTGATCCAGTTTTAATGAAGAAACGACTTAATTAGTGTTAAGTAATAAGATTATAAAGTAAAAAAAGCAAACTGAACTACTGACTATTGTTTTACCTGCAGACTAAACTTTTAATGTTTCGTTTATTTATAACGATGTACATGAAGGAAAAATGCCTGATCAGGTAGCTGTGGTCTGTCTCATGACCACGACCTGTGCAACCTGTCATCATCATCAACAGCCTTTAACAGTCATACTGCTGGACCTGCTGCTCCTTAGAGAGGACGGACGGGTTGCTGTAGGGTTTGTTTTCCTTCACTTTGCAGTGCTGGTGTCTTGCGTAGTTTGTTGTCTTTGTCGACTCTTAGGACACCTATGGGATGAATGAATCCGTATTCTTAATCCGTCACCACACGGACTGTCAAAACCTGGTCAACCCTCAGGCAATCCGAAAGTATGTTATACCTATTACGTGATCGCGTTAATTTCCGTACGTACATAATCAAATTTTAATAAACTAAACATATACTTAAAACTGTAGTAGCAACTGAATCGGTCTACCGACTCTGGTAGAACGTATTGTATATCTTTAATGGTTCTTCTCATTGTTAGTAGAAATAAAATAAACCAGATAGTAGGTAGAAGGAGCCAAAGAGTGGGGACCTCTGGTGGCAGATTGAATGCTGTGGTAGGGATAGAATGGCGGCCTGATTGCATTAAGACGCAATTAGACCGAAACGTCGCGATTGAAGGGAAGAAGTGTTTTGCCCCTGGGATAGGGCCTGATTAGGCATGGAGTCAATTCGGGAAGGACCTGAAATAACATGGTCCGGGTTCTCCCAGAGTAGGGCACCTGAGGCCGCCAGTTGGCTTCTGAGTCCCCGAGGAGCAGGAGATCCGAAGGGATTTTCCACCATTTTCCAAAAAAAAAGACAGCAGGAAGGCTGCTAAAGGAAATATGTAAACAAATACAATGAGAAACAACAAATACAAATTCCTTTTAACATAATAAGAAACAATTTAATTGGATTTTAATAGACACGAGTTCTTTGGACTTATCTATACTAATATTATAAAAGCTAAAGAGTTTGTTTGTTTGAACACGCTTATCTCAGGAACTACTGGTCCGATTTGAAAAAAAAATTCAGTGTTAGATAGCCCATTTATCGAGGAAGGCTAAGACCTATAGCCTATCATCAGGCTAAGACCAATAGGAGCGGAGCACCAATGAAGAATGTTGCAAAAACATTTTAAAAAATTGTAGTAGGAAAATTTATTTATTTTAAAAGACGCACACGAAGTTGCGCGAGTCAGCTAGTATGAAATATTGAGGAAATAATGCTAACAAGGGTATTCCTATTGAGATATAAGTAATTAGAAGAAAGATCTCAAAGTGAGGGAAGTACAAAAATATCAAGTTACTGTACAAATAATTTTTCTGAAAGTGTGGTGCAGGTGCAGATAAAGTATAAATATTTCATGATATTACTTATATCCTAGTAAAAATTATTACTGGTATTAAATGTTAGTATTTTGTAATGTAACGTAGGAGATAAAGTTGGCTATTTACAGTTAATACAGAATCAGAAATATCTACTATTAATTTTTATTATTTTAAATGTCCTAAATAATATTAATCACATATCTGCAAACATTTTAGTTGAAGATGCCGAGTAAAAAAGACTCTGTTTAATGTCTATGGTCACTGACACGCAATATCGCCGTCTTCCCGCTCTTTTCCCAATTTTATTCTTGGTTGGTTTATGTTGGATTCTTTAGATGTTGGATGCCTGACGTCATCCATCCTTGCTATGAATGTATTGTTAACACTTATTGGGGCAAGGTTAGGAGATAGAATAAGGAAGCTAGGATAAGTGACATGGCGAGTCTTTAATGGGAAACGAGACTTAGACTGGTCGTTAGACTCGAGAGTAAGAGGTCGAGGTCGCTTACCTGAATGTTCGTCCTGTGCTTAGAGAGGCTACCATAACTTTTTAAATATTCTACTGGCCTAGTTGGCATGCACTTGCGCTAGCTTTACTATTTTGATTTATTTATCTGTACTTCATAAGAGAAGTCAAATTTACAGTCTGAAAAATACAGTGATAGAAAAATTGTAAGCCAACAAAAAATCTTATGGCCAGGATATTGCGCTATAAATAGGTATTATTTATTTTCCTTTCACTAAGAAAATGATAGAGATTAAAATTCCATTACCAAAGCTGTCCGAAAGTCTGTTTTCGGAGTAATTTGATAATGCGAATGCTTTAAACGAATGACGTGTTTATCTAATGATGTTTACAAATTTCCCAGAAATATCAATAGAAATACAAATAGTTGTATCAATTAAAAAGCGTTCCAAATACCTCTCTAAATTGTATTGGGCAAGTATTCGTGGCGCGCCATTGTCCATTGTAGGTTTGGTATTGTCCCATAAACGATCGAGTTTTCGTCATCCAAAGTTCAAAAGCATTCTCATACTTTGGATGTTGGCATGTATAACACAGTTGGCAAAAAAAAGGACTTTAGCAATTACGATTGCAAGTAGAAGTATTCGTGGGAAAATCTGATACGTATATTTCGTTGTAACAAAGAGTTTAAACATTGCAGGTATAAGAAATGTTGACACCCAGAAATGCGCAGGTTTAATGACATTGGCGCGGGGTCAGATAATTTTAGAAACTTTAAAGAGGACAACAACATTTCAATTCCAGGCGAAAACAACTTAGCATAAAAATATCTAACCTACATTGAATAATTGCTCAAATTATTCCGGAGTATAAATCATCCATTATACTATCTATAATAAATTTTCGAAACTCGTGGTCTCCTGGTATTTCATAAGAAAAATTTCAATTACTTGTGTGGTATTAGGATAAATCACCAAAGAATGAGTTGGTTATACCACTTTTCCTGGCGGTAGTCAATTGTGAGTAGGGTTGACAAATATGACCCATATGGTATGGGTCATATTTGTCAACCCTATGTGGTATGGTTGGGCAAAGAGATGGGTTATCGTCACTCGAGTCAGGTTTCTGATAATGGGAAAAATCTTCACGAATAAACGGCGAACCATTTCGACAGACGGGAAGGTTAGTCACACCTCTCGTACGTATGAAGCCACATAAGCGATTACAGGACTTATTACTGGGTTAAGGCATTGTTGACAATTAAATTAGTTTAATGAGAAGGCATCTTAATTACTGTAATTTTTGATATTTATCACATACATTCCTAACTACTATTAACACGTACTAATTACAGTGTAAACAATTCTTATACAAAGCCACAAACGAGATGAGTAAATTAATAAATGATAAATAAATGAGGGAATGTGTGGCAATAGTGATGAAATAAGTGAAGATACCAACCTGTCGATGTGTACCACACACGTTCTGGTTTTATCATCATCGGTGAGGCGCACATCGGTGATGTATTTCCATTCGAGGAAGGCGGCTAGCTGCGCACGCGCCACTATGACGCCACCAGTTGACAATGTAACTACCGTGTCACTGGACAAGCCGCACTTGCGTGACAGCTCCGTCGATATCACGCTGACTGAATACGAGTCTTTGATCAATGGCTCTGAGTCTGCAATGAGTGATAAGCATGACCGTGAGGGTAGTTTTGCTAGTAGAAACACATTTTATGATAATAGACAAGATTTTTTTATGTAATGTTAATTGAATATTGAGGAATCTTATAATGACCCGTGAAATTTCATCAATGAATTACAGTTTACAGTTATTTAGAACACGTATAGAACACGGTTGGACAAGTGCACAAACGTTCTGTCAATTCTAACTCCAGCAATGTGCAAAAAAAGCAAATGACTAAAATTCGGCCTGACAACAGAATATACTTATGACGTGTGGAAATGTAATTAAAAATATTTGAATTATGATGAATATTCATAGTTTCATAATTTGCAATACAGTAGACACTTTCAAAGTAAAAAAAATCATTCGATTGTTAAAGTAGAAAAAAAAACTTTTTTTCATTGTCGAGTACAGTTTTTTGACAATTAAAGTGCAAAACTACCCTCAAATTTTAACAATAAACAAACAGCCAAATGATAAGAAATAATATTAGTAAGCATGTAATTTAGATGATATGAGGACACACATATAGCATATAATGATATACACATTAACTAGATAGAGCAGTTGATGAATATTAGGAAATTTTTATCTAATATAATAAGTGTCACAGTGTTTGTGGTAGCACTCCTCCGAAACGGCTGGCCCGAAGTTAATGAAGTTTTTTGTATATTTGGTAGGTACGAGTATAGGTAGTAAAATATTTATCAACATACATTTTTTCATAATTTATATCGCAGAACAACGTTTGCGAATCAGCTAGTTATATTACAAGAAGGCAGACTCTGATGGTCTTTTAGATGCGTTTTCGCAAATATTTACGAGTGATTACGTGAAGTCAATTTATGCATGTTCTTGAGAGATTCGCTGGACAGGTTCCACGTGTAACCCTGATACTGACCACGAGCCTCAGAGAGAGGACAATAGTTGTGGTTGGGAGTCAAATAGTTAAGATGAAATGCCAGTCAATTGGACTACTGTAAAGCTCAGCCTCAGTCACCTGAACTAAAGAAAGAAAGAAAGAAACGTTTAATTTGGCAATAACACAACACTTCTGACAATTTTGCAGCTTAAGTTAACACCGATGCAATTCAGCCTTGTGTCAATCCAATGTGCCAATAGATTTATGCATTTGAAATAAATATCACACACAATTGTACCAAGAATAATTTTCGTTACAAAACCCAAATGACGGCCAAAGCCAATTTAAAAACTAATTAGCTTTTAAAGGGATATGATGAAATTCCATTGCAAAGGAGAATTGTAGTGTCCTTGCTTGGGCGTGTATGTGTGACTTTGTAGGAAACTATGCACAATTATGCAAATAATAATGCACTATTTAATTAGTGGCAACACTCCAATTGTTACCAATCGGATCTTTTTTTTTCTGTCAACAGGGGCTTACTTTGTCTTTTAATTCTTAGTTTATAAAACTGTTGCTTTTTTTGTCCAGTGTGGCTCAAAAGTTGATAGTAAAATTAAGAAATTTCTAAAGCAAAAGGAGTCTTCGATAATAATAGTTTCTTGTAGCAAAGAACTCCAAGTTCCCGAGAAACGAACAAACATTTTCAGGGCAAAAAAATTTAGTACAGGGTGGCGCAATAGAACGTGCATATTGCATCATCTTTTTTCGCGGGGTAGAAAGTGCGCGGGCGGGGGGAGCCTGCATTGTTGGGTAGGCGGGCTCATGGAGTTTTAGTCACTATGAGTCACTTCGACGGGAAGCGTCGCGCATTTTGCGTGCGCGCATTTTACGAGAACTCTCGTTCATACATCGTTACTAGGCGTTTATATTGTTCTGAATATGGACTACGGCAAATTAGTAAAGCTCCGAGTGCTAATTTAATTAAAATATGGGTACAGCGTTTTGAAGAGACTGGTTCAACGTTTAAACCACAAGCAAAAGGTTGTCCAAGAACATCTAGGACCGACGACAATATTGAGAGAGTTATGCAGTCTGTACGAGGAGATCCACAAATGTCTACTCGTAAGAGATCGTCTGTCTTACACTTATCGCGACGAAGTTTGCAACGAATTTTAAACTTGGATCTTAAACTCGCATTTGCTAATGAAATGCTTAATCGATTTTCCAATTTTGACAATATCCTTTTCTCAGATGAGGCCCACTTCCATATCAATGGGTTCGTAAACCGTCAAAATTGTCGTTACTGGATCCCAAACTCAAGCACCAGAAACCACTGCATAGTCCTAAAGTGACAGTATGGGCAGCAATCTCTGGTAGAGGAATAATTGGACCGTTTTTCTTTGAAAATGCGCGGGGGCAAAACGTCACTGTTAATACCGAACGCTATGTTGCGATGTTGGAAGGTTTTTTGGCTCCAGAGCTTGAAAATTCAAGAATAGTGAATTCTAGGACTTGGTTTCAACAAGACGGAGCTACCTGTCACACATCAAATGACTCCATGGCGGTTGTGAAACAGATGTTCCCTGGCAGACTGATTTCGAAAAGAGGTGATATCCCATGGCCCCCACGTAGTCCAGACGTGACGCCTCCTGACTTTTTTTTGTAGGGATACCTCAAGAACAAAGTCTACAGTAATAATCCGAAAAACAACGATCAGCTCAAGGAGAATATCCGTGGTGAAATGGCAGCAATTACACCAGCATTACTGAAGAAAGTTTTCAATAACTTCCGTTTGCGATTAGAGGAGTGTCGTCGTAGAGAGGGTCATCATTTAGACGATGTTATTTTTAAAAAATAAACTTCAGTTATTTCTTAATAATACCTCAGTTTTATTTTAACTATACCTTTTGTATTTATTTTCTAATCAATATTTTAAATATGCACGTTCTATTGCGCCACCCTGTACTTAAATTTTCTATTTCCTTGAATTTTGCTATACTATAGTTTGTTTCATAACTAAATGTGTTTTTTACCTTACTTTCATAGATTTTAATCCATAAATGCAGGACTGGATCCTTAGAACCAGTGGTATAAATAAATCCTATAAATCTATTGATGGCTTGTATTATAAGAAGCTTTAAATTAAGATTACAAAATGCATTATTTTAAATATAAAATGTAAATTTAAAAATAAACATAGTAGACAATAGATTTCGATTTAATATATTATTATGGATGCGTTTTATTACTAGTTTAAATGGGTTATGTGCGTATTTGCATTCAATGTTATGACGTCAACGTACCGATGCAAATTTCAGGCCATGATCAGTGTGTGATGTGATTTTGGAAAAAAGCCATACCAATATTATGCGAAAGTATGTTTGTCTGTCTGGTACCTCTTTACGCTTAAACCGCTGTACCGATTTAGATGAAATTTTGGTATAGAGATAGTTTAGTCCTGGAAAGGACATAGGAGGAAGGACATGTATGGGGAATCGGTAACCACTGAACAGATTTAGATAAAATTTGGTATGGAGATAGTTCGAGTTGTAGGGAAGGACATAGGCGACATACACGCAGGCGGAGCCGCGGGCAAAGACTAGTTATATTTTAAACACTTTTTTAATGTGATACCATCTGATGAAAATAAATTTATCTGCACCTAGTCATCCAAAGATTCATTATTAGTATAGGTTGCTTTTATTATTTCAGCATTTCGCTTCCAAGAACAGGATATGCACTGTTAAACATTGAGCATCATATGAGAATAGTGAGATCACCCACTGTCTTCATCCAGGCACTTCCTGTAATTTAAAACTAGTTCTCATTCCATTTTTAGAGTGACTGCTTATTCATTTTTGACGGGCCCGTTGATTTAGAGGTTGGCCTGACTGCTAACCCGAAGGTCGTGGGTTCGATCCCCACCCAGGACACATAATTGTGTGATGAGCATGATCATTTGTTCTGAGTTTGGGTGTAATCTATCTATATTATGTAGGTATTTAAAATATTTAAGTATGTTTATCAGCAGTCTGATAAGTATAGCACAGATTCTATTATATTTTGTTTCTAAGGAAATATTGTCTCATTTCTTATTTAACCCCTGAAGTGCAGTGTTGACGATTATAGGGTTGCCTTTAGGTAAATGGACTAAACATCTAGTTAGCAAAACTATGAGCGTTTATACACTTCTGTTTACCCCTTAAGGGATTAAGGGTGTAGATGTATATGTTAATTAAACTCGCACTTCTTTGGGACAGCAGAAACTTAAAATAAAAAAGGTTCCTAGTAATGTTAAGTGTACAACACTTAACTAGTATTCCTGCTAAAACCCCCGGTTAGTGGTGTACTGGGTGGGGTTTAAACCCAGAACCACTTGATCAGAAGTCTGATGGCTAAGCTACTAAGCTACTATTAGCCTACAAGTTAGAATTGAGTTGTAACACATAATACCGGTTTATGTTCGTTCACTCCTGACCCAGTACTCATGCAACAGTGTATAACATTTATGAATAAAAACATTATTATCCATTTCCAATTACACACTTTACATTGCAAAAGTAAAACTGTTATTTATACTATGTGAGAGAGTTTATATAACCTACAGACTGTCCATAACATTGAAACAATGCAATATTATCTTGTAACAGTTGCATAAACAGTGGTACTATACTCCTAGAGTAAATGAGACTGCTCAGTGGATTATGTCATACCAGCTTACGCCCATGACTTCCCTCACATCAATGTAGATTTTTTAGGAAAAAGGAGAAAACGGAACCCTTATAGAATCACTTTGTTGTCCGTCCATCCATCTGTCTATCTGTCAAGGCCCTTTATCTCGAAAACGCGTGGAGGTATCGTGTTGAAATTAAAAAAATATACTCAAGTCCACAGTCTCTTGAAGCTGTGAAAAAATCAAACTTCTAAGTTACCGTAAAAAAAAGATACGGCCGTTTATGCCGCAAAAAACGTATATTTCGACACTCAAGGGAATCAAAATTTATATGGTATTTCTCGTTGACCTAGAACTATGAAATTTGGCAAGTAATACCGTGTTATGCTAAAAGTATAGGGAAAAATCTGAAAACTATACTATATTTGTAATTAAATCATAAAAGGGTTCCATACAATTTTGTACCTACAAAATTGTACGGAACCCTTTTATGATTTAATTACACCCTTAATTACCCCTGACGATTCTGACTCACACTTTTCAGGCTTTTTAAATAATTATCTCAATAAAAGAAGTAAATTTCTTTATAAAAGATATTTCTCTGTATTTTTGATGATGTGTACTCTGAAGGTGTGAAATTGTAAACGATGATCCAAAAGGAAGAATATCTGTTTTTTATTATACTATTGCCCATGGCTTTGCTCATATGATTATTCATTATTTCATGTTTATAACTTTGACAATGACTAACTTTCATATAACCGTTCACCCCTTATTTTAGGGGTGAAATTTCCAAAATTCTTTCTTAGTTCTTACAACATAAAAAGCATCAGCTGCTAAAATTTTAAGTTAGTAGACTCAGTGGTTTAGACCCCCCGCTGATGCATCAGTCAGTCTGGTCCAGTAATTTTATTTCTAAAACGACAACTCCCACATTAGGAATATATTGTGTTGCGGGGGACTTTACAAACATAAATACCCAGACTCAGAACAACAATTTGTGGGTCTCACAAAGTGTAGTCCCATGTGGGAATCGAGTAAACGGCGTAGGGACTGCTTAAACCACTACGCCATCCGTGCAATCAAATTTCAAATTTATAGATGTGATATTTAATGTTGTAAAAAAGTAAATAGAGCTTTAACTTGATCCTTGATCCAATTTTAATAAAAATACTTATTAATTAAAGCAAATTTAAAGGGTGTTTTTATGCAATTGTTTAAATACTTTATAGATTTATCTTTTAATATTAATAAATATCTTATTCAACTAGATGTATTAATAATGTTCTAGAAGAATAGAATAAAGTTATCTATTAGCAAGCAGAGTTTTGGCATTGTCTTACTGCTTATTCAAAATAAAGGCAAAAAATACAATTTTCTGAAACTCTCATTGAGTTACTTTACCACCAAAGTTATCTACATTTTTTTAACTGTTATTGTTACAAACCTAGTGTATAAAAAACCTGCTTAAAATTGGCTAAGAAATTTCATAGCATACACACATTAAAATAGATTCTAATTAAGAAGCTACTTTAGTTTGAAGTTAGTTAAAAAGTATTTTTTTTATTTATCTACATAAAATCACCCACTATAGATTGTTCACTGTAAGATATAAAATCAGCTACCATGAAAGCATGTTTAAAATGTGCACTCACTATATGCCCTGAACTTTATTAACTTCTATACATATCATATTAGAATTGCCCAATTTGTCATTAACCACTTTGCAGTTATTATTGCTAAAAGATAATTTACAAAGGCTTAGTGTGAGGAAATTCAATTTTGAACTACTTTATACCTCCTTACAACATTTTGTTTGTAATCAAAAATTCTTATTGACACATTGCCTATTTAAAAAAAGAAGTGTTTGTATGACTCAGTTTCATACAATTAAATTGTCACATATAGACTGTTCTCACTTCCAAGTTTATTTTTTTACGAAGGTGGTTTTGATTCTTACTCAACTGACAATCACATGTTGAACTTTGACCGCCTAAACAAAAAAAAACGATACTGAAGGTAGTTACTCACCTAATATTTTGCTGCCATTTATTAAAGCGCGGATTTTTTCCATCCAAGTTTGTGTATCATTTAGAGATTGAGCTGCAAGCAATATGCGTGGTTTTCTTGGATCATCAACAGAAAACACCGCGAAAGCAAACGGCCGCGTGCGAGACTTCGCCCTTTTCACCACGCTGCCCAATGGTAGCTCAACAGATCCAGCCGAAGCACCTGCTTCGCTGCAATACACAGCTAACGATGCTCCTGCATGCGTTGGACTCGGCCTCAAAATACACCATTGTCTTTTCCAGGACTGACAATAACAAAAATAATCAATGCCACAATGTTGTGATAAATCCAATGAATAAATTATCAAATTCGAAGCAGACTTACCTTAAATGGATTTAGGCCCAGATTAGATTTGAAAGGATACTTTATCTCTAAGTATCCGGACATTCTGATTACTTTTTTTCACTACATAAAAATCATGTTTAAATAAATATCACTTGACTATAAGTATAAACACGAGATGCACATGTTCTATCAAACAATATTGTTTACAAAAAGTCATAGACAAAATACAGAAGTAGTGCTTGGTCGTTTATTTAAAATCGATAACTAAAACCGGTTTTTCCGACGACAATTAGTTTTGTCTATGTCTTATTGTTTTTCAATTTGATAATTTAAATTTTCATAAATTAAAAACAACTGCAAGAAAAGACCATACCAGAACCATCATGAAATATTCAGCTAAGCAAATGGTCTAATTTTGAAACATTTCATCTCTCTATCATTAAATTGTAACAAAAAATAATTACTTAAGTTTTCACAAATACAAATATGTATCAAGTAGCCCCATTTTGCCAATCATAACTTTGTACTTGTAGATTCCCAATCTTGTACATGAATTTTAAAGTAAGTAAGACTTAATTGTTATAGTCGAGTTATTTTAATCGATTCGTCCAGCCTGTCATACTGATACTCGTCATGTCACATTTTCATGTCAATGAAATGACAAGTGAAAAAATGTCATCTGATAATCTGGTCTGACTGGCACCTGACCGAATGTGAAAAACAAAATTCGGATATAAAATTGTATATTTCTGGAATTTTGAAGAATTCTATTTAAATATAAAAAGTAACAACGAAGTATTTGTACATTTAGGAGGTGATCTAATCCTTTATAATGAAGCAACTTATATCGATTTTCATCGCTATTTGTACGTTCTGTAATGTACTGTGTGCCCTGAATCCTCTTGAGGAAGAAGTTGGCAACGGCAGATACGTTATCGAAGGCAAGGTGTTTCCTCCAGAGGAGCAAGATTTAGGACCATGGCAAGTAGATACACGCATTCATATCAATGGTGGAGAGTACATAGGTTTCATACGAGAAGACGGCACCTTCGTTATACATAATGTTCCTTCAGGGTCATATGTGGTAGAAATATTACATCCTGACTATATGTATGAGCCTATCAGAGTTGAGATCAACTCCAAAGGTAAGTATAGAGCCCGGAAAGTGAATTACATACAGACATCACAAGTTATTCAGGTGCCGTACCCACTAAGATTGAAGGCCCTATCCAAGTATAGGTATTTCCAAATGAGGGAGCAATGGCGGCTGACAGACTTTTTGTTTAACCCTATGGTGATTATGATGGTCCTGCCACTTCTGTTTATAATGATTCTACCCAAGATGATGAATGACCCAGAGACTAAAGAGGACTTTAAGCAAATTAGCAATTTGGCTAAGATGTCAGAAATGCCAGAAATGTCCGAGATGTTTACTACACTGTTTAATAGAGGAGCTGCAGCAAAGCCATCCACATCTAAAACCAAACAGATCAAAAAGAGGCAGTAACTATGTTATAGTTGAATATTTATAGGTATTTATAATCAGTAAGGTTATGTGTATATTAATGTAAACATTAAATAAATTGTTTATGAACATGTTTTTATTTTATTTTTATTAAGTTAGCCAACAATCATACAACATTTTTATTACATATATAAAAACTCTATAGAGCTCTGGCAGTACATTAATTCATCAACAGCCTTTACTAGTCCGCTGCTGGACATAGGCCTTTCCTTAGAAAGGAGGTTTTGATCCACTACACCACGCTGGCCAGACAGGTTGATATAGGGTTTGGGGTCAGGATGCGCCTCGCCCAGACGGGAGCTCGAGTCCTCGAGTTCCCTGGGGCTGAAGGCGCTAAGACGGCGGACACATTTGCCGAGAAGCTGCGGGGACTCTTTACAGCCACGGATGGTGTAAAGATCGCCAGGCCTACTAAGTGCGCAGAGCTGCGCATCTCGGGCCTGGACGACTCTGTGACGGCCGAAGATGTCCGCGCTGTAATCCGGGAGAAGACGGGGTGCAGCGCGGACAACGTCAGGGTCGGCACCATCCGCCCCGGTCCAGGAGAGCTTGGCGCCGTGTGGGTCAGCTGTCCCGTAGCGTCAGCCAAAGTATTGGCCGACGCCGGCAGGCTGCTCATCGGTTTCGTGAGCGCCAGGATCACAGTCCTGGCGGCGAGACCGATGAGGTGCTACAAATGCCTAGCATCGGGACACACGCGCGTCAAGTGCGACAGCTGTTTCGACTGCGGCGGACTGTGCTTCCGCTGCGGTCAACCGGGGCATAAGGCGGCAGAATGCTCTGCCGCCCCTCACTGCCCAGCGTGTGCGGCGGGCAATAAGCCCGCCAATCACCAGATGGGGCAGAGAGGCTGCAAGCCTCCCCGCAGTTCTCGGCAGACGTCAGGGGCTAGCCAGTCGACCCAGGCTGCCTCTGATATAGTACGTGCGTCGTCGTCGTCGCCCATGGAGGAGGTTGTAGAGACGATCCAGTAATGGATCAAGTCTCCAACCTCCTGGTCCAGACGAACCTGAACCACTGTGCCGCGGCGCAGGATCTCTTCCTGCAAACCATGGCACAGTGGTCGATAGGTGTTGCCGTAGTCGCGGAGCCCTATTCTGTCCCTCCCCGTCCAAACTGGATGGGTGACTGGGACGGCTCCGTGGCAGTCGTCGGTTCCACGACGGCTCATTCCCCGCCCTTGTCGCTAAGAGACAAGGGCACTGGATATGTTGCCGTCGAGTGGGGGGGGATCACCATATATGGTGTCTATTTCTCCCCCAACCGGAGTTTGAACGACTTCGAGGTTTTCCTAACCAGCTTGGAGACCTCGATACGGCGACTAGCGTCTGGGCACGTCCTTGTGCTGGGGGACTTCAACGCAAAGTCCATTGCGTGGGGTTCCCCCAGGACGGACGCCAGGGGCGAGGCCGTAGAGGAGTGGGCGGCCTCGGTGGGCCTCTGTCTTCTAAACAGAGGCTCCACCAACACGTGCGTGCGACAGCAGGGGGGGTCGATAGTGGACCTTTCGTTCGCTACCCCTGCCCTCGCCGCACGAGTAAGGAACTGGTGTGTCCTGGAAGAGGTTGAGACGCTCTCGGATCACCTGTATATCCGATTTGAGCTCTCCCGGACCCAGGACTCCAGTAGGGGTCACGTGGCGCGGCGTTTATCCCGCTTTCCGCGGTGGGCTGTTGCCAGGCTGAACCGGGACCTACTAGAGGAGGCAGCCATAATTCACTCGTGGCTGTCTCCTCAGGCTCCGACCGAGGAGGTCGACGTGGGGGCTGGCCGCTTTCGCGATGCGATTACGCATGTATGCGATGCGGCCATGCCCCGCGTTCGAGGTCGTCGGCCTCCAAGGAAGGAGGTCTACTGGTGGTCCCAGGAGCTGGCGGACCTCCGTGCGGCCTGTACACGTGCCCGGAGGTCCTACACGCGCAGTCGGCGGCGTCACCGTGGAGACGGTGAGGAGGACCGGCTTCATGAGGAGTACCGACGGGCGCGGAAAACTCTGAAGCTGGCCATTAGCCGCGCCAAAGAAGAAAAAAGACAGGAGATGCTGGAGGGTCTTAATCGTGACCCCTGGGGTCGCCCTTACCGCGCGGTGCGACAAAAGCTCCGCGCGTCGGGCCCCCCCCCTTACGGAGACTCTCCAGCCCAGCTTCCTGCGAGAAGTGGTTGAGGGCCTTTTCCCACAACGGGCGGAACACACTCCCCCGTCGATGGCCTCCTTGGCCGGAGACGACGGGGAGCACGGGGAGGATAATGTTCCGCCCGTCCGGGAATCGGAGGTAGGGGCGGCTGTTCTACGGATCCGTTCCAAGAACACCGCCCCTGGGCCAGACGGGGTACCGGCCCGAGTGCTGGCCCTGGCCCTCAACCACATGGCAGACCGCCTCGGGGAGGTGTTCGACGCTAGCTTGGCGTCGGGACGCTTCCCTGAGTGCTGGAAGAGCGGGAAGCTGGTCCTATTGCGGAAGCCGGGACGGCCTGCCGATTCGGTCGCGGCCTATAGGCCCATCGTGCTGCTGGACGAGGCGGGCAAATTGTTTGAGAGGGTTCTTTCTGCCCGCATCGTCCGGCACCTTTGCGAGGTGGGCCCCGATCTGTCGGACGCCCAATTTGGTTTTCGGGCGGGGCGTTCGACGGTCGACGCCGTGTTGCGCCTGAGGGCCGTGACCGAAGAGGCCGTGAGCTGTGGCGGCGTGCTGTTGGCGGTGTCATTGGACATCGCCAACGCATTCAATAGTCTGCCATTCAGCTGCATCAGCTGGGGGGTGGACTGGTTCGCGTCCGTAGGAAGGATACCTGAAGAAAACCCTACACGTGCCCCCCGGGTGGTGCTAAACGAACCTCAACGCCGGGTCTCGGGCGGCGGTTAAATAACCCGACAATACTGGCCTAACCAGTCAGACAACAGTGGGTGTTAGGAAATGAATACTCACGCCCGCAACCGCTACTCAGCGATCGGGAGTCTTGGCTTAATTGCCCGGGCTGAGAGGAAGAAAACCTCTATAAAACAATCACCCCAATTCCACGGTGGGACACGTGCCAATGGAATGCATGACTGGTGGGAGATCAGTATCGAGCGCCAACCTCGGCGGACATGGCAAACGTCGTTGAAGATCGCCTTCTTGGAGGAATGGGCGTCACCCTTCAAGTGACCTTTTATATCGACCCTACTCGTGGGAACAAAATGAGCATGAATAATGAAAAAGAAAACCAAAACAAGCCAAAGATGACACAACAAGTACTCCAAAAAAGCATGTTTGCACGTGTAAGGAGCCCCTCACTTGGAACTCTACCAATTGAAACACCAAATCAAACAATTCCAAAAGATAAGGTGCAAGAGGAATCGAATACATCTGATACGAATGATGCACAAGCTAAAACAAATCAACCATGGCAAAACGATCAGGTGCCTATGAAAAGGAAAGCGGAATCTAGTCCTGAACGGACAAAGAATAATACTAAAGTAAATAAGACAACATATGCAGTAACAACAGAAAACAGATTCCAAATCTTAGAGTCAGCAACACACGACGAACCCAGTCAACAACCTAAGGAGCCTAAACCACCAAAGCCAGAACCCATATTTGTCACGGGAGTTATAGACATAACGACATTAAAGAAAATCCTCTCCTCAATTGTAAATACCGACAAATATACTATGACAACTCTGAGGTCAGGACACATAGTTAAAATAATGCCTGGTGACGTAGACACGTATAAAAACATAAGAGCTAACTTTATAGAAAATAACGTTAGTCATTACACATACAAACTTAAAAGCGAAAGAGCCTACAGAGTAGTATTACGTGGTCTTCACTCATCAGAAGACACAGAACTAATTAAAAAAGAGCTCTTCGAACTTGGGCATGAAGTACGGCACATCACAAATGTACAACACAAAAACACAAAACAACCGCTACCCTTATTCTATGTAGACCTTGAGCCTAAACACAACAACAAAGAAATTTTTAAAATCAACAGAGTGAATTACGTAAAAGTCTCATTTGAAGCACCATACAAAAAGCTAGACATTTTGCAATGTAAAAGATGTCAAAGATTTGGACATGCAAAAAACCAGTGCAACAGACCATTCAGATGTGTAAAATGCGGAGAAGAACACTCAACAACAAGCTGTTTAAAAAGACCGGACACCGAGGCAACTTGTGCCAACTGCCAAGAAAAACATCCAGCAAGTTACAAAGGCTGCATAAAGTACAAACTATACAAAGACTTACTTTCGAAAAACAAGACAGGAAAGGGCAAAGAAAGAAATGGGAACACAAACAACATAACGCAAAATCAATACCGCAAAAACCCGACACAAACTGTACAAGAAAACCACCAAACTAAGAACTACAATCTCTTCAATCACTCGAAACCAAATATCACATATGCACAAGTGACAAAACAAGAAAACACAACGGGATTAATAACCGATATCAAGAACCCAAATAATTTCGGGGAAGTTCTAGACGCCATGTTCAACAAATTTCAAAACATAATAAATATTATGTTAGACAACATGATGGATCGTATGATCCAATTATTCACAAGCCTTATAAAGCACCCCTAAACCTCAGAATAATCACCTGGAATGCCAACGGGCTGACAGAACGTCGCCAGGAACTTGAACTCTTCTTGAAACTTGAAAGAGTGGACGTGGCTTTAATCTCAGAAACAAGATTCACACCAAAAACTCATTTCCAACTTAAAAATTACATGGTGTATACTACAAACCACCCTTCTGGTAATTCACATGGAGGAACCGCAATCATAATAAAAGAAAACATCAAACATTATCTTTCAGGGGCAACCAAAACCGAAAAGATACAAGCAACTTCAGTCAGGATTCAGGATAATAAAACAGAAACAACAGTGTCTGCAATTTACTGCCCACCTAGGCATGTCATTACAAGAGATGAGTTCAAGACCTACTTCAACACACTAGGAAACAGATTTATTTGCGGTGGCGATTGGAACGCAAAACA